CAATATTGCTGTTTTACTGTATTTTTGAATAAATGCAGCCTTGGTTAGCATAAGAGACTTTTTCTAAAAACTAATATTTTTGAATGGCAGTATAACGATAGATCGTTTTGTCATTTAGAGAATATTTAAATAATGTTCAATTCACTTCACACTAGGAATGAAGTGCTCATACTCAATTTTTAAAGAAGGAATGAGAAACCCACCAAACACAGTGGTGGTCCATTCGAAGGACACATGCCCCACAGATTCTGCAGTGCCCTGCCCTTGGTGGGCGCACCTGTAGGCACACAGGGCATAACTTCTTCTTTCCTTCCTTTTCCCCATTTGACTGGCTGATTCCTTTGCAGGGGGCGGAGTCTCCAGGTATGTTTGTGCTCTGATTGGTTGTACAGATACTGTTAATTCCCTGAGCTAATGATTGGGATTTGACAAAGCCTGGTCCTTGTTTGGTTCGCACAAGGGAGATAAGCGTCAACATCATGCCTGTCGTCACAGTAACCAGCTGCAGATTACTGATGTCTCCTCTGGGAACGATCTCAGTAAGGAAAAGGTAGTACATGTAGGCAAGGGAGAAAAGTGCCAAGCTAAGGAAAAACAATGTGCGTCTTTTCCTTCTGTGAGTCACATAGTAATACCAAAGCACCAGTCCTGGTAGGACAGTTAGGACTACAACTCCCAACATACAGTTAATTGCTGCTACTCGCAACAGGCCAGGAATTAATACCATGGGAGGTAAAACAGAGATTTCCAATCGAAGGGGTCCTATGGCACAACATGGCAAACCCAAACGATCAGCCATACAAGAGATGAAACGAGAGAAGATGTCTGGCTTGTCTGGCTCTCCTCTGACTAACCTACTGAGAAGGAGTGACAAATTCATCATTCATCATTTGCACACTATTATGTTATCAGTTTTATGTGTGGAAATGACAAGTTGCAAATGATCTCATTGTGTGTCCCTTGTGAAAAAGAATATACACTTCAGAATATTTAAAAAAAAAAGAGCACTTTTTACAGAATGAATACAGTTTAAAAGAATATACTTAACTGCTGACTGATTGTAATGTTTTCAGACACTTACATGTTCATTACAATTAAATCAAAATGAATTATATTTGAAATTTATATTAAATGCAATTAGATTTTTTTATAGTGCTTTTATTAAGTGGGACTTAAGTATATCTTTATATTTAATTTTCTAATTACTAACATGGTTAAAGTGAAATATGGTTAAAATGTACTGACAAATAGCCTTTGCTATTGAAAGTCGTCATGTATTTAAACATATTTTTAAAAGCACGTGTAATAAAGTTGCAATTTAGTAATATATTAACTTTAAATGTAGTATTGAATAAAACACTACAGATACAATTATAATCAAGTACTTTACATGTGCCTTAGTATGTCAGTCAGCACATTAAAATACTGTGTACTTTACAGAACGACAAAGGATTATTAAAACATGATTTTAATTTGACATTATTACAAAGCACACTGTTTAAAATGCTTAACACTTAGGTGGCCATTTATTTCATCAATATTATATTATCTGCAAGTACAGTTTTTTAAAATATACACATTTAGGATTTGAAGTACACTACAAGGGCACATTCATTACAATTAAGAGCATTTCTTTTTCACAAGGGGTTACAAGGATAAAAAAAAAAAACAGTTTGGACCAACATGAAGGTGCAAATGGACAAAATTATTTAGTTAAACTACACTTTAAAAAGTTTATATCAACAAATGTAATGTAAAACCATCTCTGCATGCCATGATCTTAACCTGGTTGACCTCTGACCTTTCACAGGCATCATCGAGTTCTTCACAGTCACAGCAGCAGTACTCTCTTTGCTGGTCGATGTCTCCACAGCAGCACAGAGGGTCATCTGGTTCCGGGGGCTCAAAACGTTCTCGTTTCATCTCTTTATGTCAGAGACAACCTGCTTCCACTGTGAAATCAAGCTTTCTTTGAGAGCAGGTTAGATCACATTTAGTCAGCTGAGGAAAGTTCAATAATTGCAAGTAATTCAACTTGCAACAAGGCTGTTGGTAGTTTTTGCAGTTAGTTGACAGAACAGAAGACTGCAGATTTCTTGTTCAGCTTGCTTACTGGTCATCTGCTCTTTGCATCAGAAGTTTCTTGTAAAAATCACGCGTTCCACTGTCTGAAAAAAACAAACAAACAAACATAAAAATGAAGATAATGATTTTCTCCTTATAATATCACTTTACAAAAATGTTTTTCTTGCTGATCTTGATTGTTATTGAACAATTCACAATGAGCAATTAACAGATTTATGAAGTGTGCAGATCAATAACTCCTTTACCACAGCCATCCTGGTTCTTTTGTGTAATTTTAGAGAACAACAGACGCTCAATTCTTTCTTAGATTTAACAGTGAACTTCACCAGATGGATTGATTCTGATTTCTTTTATTTTTATTTTATTTCAAATGAATTTAGCTCTTTTAGATTAGAGATTGTTTTGTCATCATCATCATGGAAATAAATATATATAATAAAAGGTTCCATTAATGTTAGTTCATAACATGAACAAACAATGAACAATACATTTATTTATTCATCTTTGTTAATGTTAGTTAATGAAAATACAGTTGTTCATAGTTAGTTCATGTTAATTCACAGTGCATTAACTAATGGTAACAAGCACAAATTTTGCATTATTAAAAAGAAATGCATTATTAAATATTGAAATTAACATTAACTAAGATTAATAAATGCTGTAGAAGTATTGTTCATGCTTAGTTAATGTTAACTAAAGTAGTTAACTAATGTTAACTAATGGACCTTATTGTAAAGTGTTACCATTATAAATACAAAAATATTCAATGGAGGTGAATATTTTTTATTGTCAATTTACACACTTGTGGCCTAAACACACGAACTAGTTTTAGGTCACAGAGGAACAGCACTTAGTTAGGTGTCTAACACATCTAAGATATCTAGCCTAACGCATGCTTTTCTCACTTGGGATCTGACACTGGCACAGACATTCAGGAGGACACACATTAACATAAGGACTGGTCTAGAAATAATCTACATGTAGTGTATAAGTGCAGAAAATATTAATATCTGAATCCGCTCTTTGTATCTTGAATTAAGGCCATCTCAGGTCTCATGTGGATCCCGTAATTGGGCCATCAAAAAACTTTTCCCTGAGAGGCCGTTCTCCATTACAGTTGTCTGATAGAGAAAATAATTGAGTGGCATGTGTTTGACATGTTCTAAATTACATTTGTTCCCTAGAGTAAACAAAAGGTTTGCCCTTGAGTGTGCTGTGATTTAAAATGAACCCTACATAGGGTGATTATAATTTCTGAAGGCCACTTAAAATATATATCAACAATAATTTTATTTTGAAACCTTTTAAAACTGATCAAAGTATTCTTAACATCAATCTGTTACCTGGTTTAACAGCCTCAAAACAGGTGGAACATCCCACATGAAGTTCTTCAGTTTATAGGCTACATCAAATTGTGGTGAGTCTTAATTAGTTCCTCGTCTTCTGTGATGCACTTATAGTTTTTTTGTTTGTTTGTTTATTTGTTGTTGTTTTTTGTTTAACCTAAAATGTCAAGACGTCATCCACAGAAATCCAGCTGAAGTTTTCCAGTTAATCCGATTTTTTTTTTTTTCTTCCTGTCAAATGATTACTTCCCGTAAAAGAACGCAGATGGAAGTCCAGGCTCGTCTTCGTTTCATTTAAAAACGAAAGCAAAATATTTATAAAAAAAAAAAAGTTAACTCCTTAAAATACCTCCAATAAACAGAAAGGCGCGTCCTTGTAGGGTTTATCAGGCTATGAGGTGCAGCTCGTGAAGATCCTCAGGACTGTCCGGAAGGCAGTGATAGATAACTCTGCGCGCTCAAGCTCCACTCTCTCAAGCGTTCTGAGAGGGTAGGCGCGTGAGAGGGATCTGTTTACAGGCGTTGTTACCGATTAGGGTTGGGTGGCGGCGTTGAAAAGGGAAGCTGGCAGGTGTTACCGTGACAGCGACAACGTGAAGCAACGCGGAGAGATAGTAGCGCGTATACCGTGCATAACCGGCGGGCCAGACACTGGGTGAGTCTGGGTCACAGTCGCCTTGTCACCTTAAATTTTAACTGTTCTATTGTGTTCATGTCGATTTTAAGCCATTTATGGTAAAGAATACGCTGTAAATATACTGTTGTGTTATTGTCAGGAATTGAGATATATTTAAACAAACATAATGGAATTAAATTTCAGCTTTATGACAGTAATTATTTTTAAAAAGTTTACCATCTGTGTGCTGCACGTCATGACCTTTCACCTTTGACCATTCAGCTTTAAATATTTTATTGTTTTTATTGTTACTATTAATTGTATTTATTATTTAAATGTATTATTATATTTATACATATTTCTATTTATTATTCATTTTAATACATTTTTCAATTGTAACTTTTTAAAGAATTTCTTCTAATGCCGAGTTCACACTGCATGATTTTCAAAGTCGTCGGGTCACCGTGGTGCGTCAGACCGGATTTCTCTAGCAAGACTGGAATTATAAAATATATATATAGCCCGCAAACTGTATGTGAGCTGATTTCCAGCTACAAGGAGAAAAATAAAAACAGATTATGCAGGAGGGAGATGCAGGGAACAGGGATTGGGTGTTCTGCAAAGAG